CCCATTGTCCCTGCCCTCTCTTCCTGGGACAAAGCCCACCTGATCTCTATGTATCCATTTAAGGCATAAACTCCTTCAACCTATTCGCTAGGACCTTTGCATATATCTTGGTGTCTAAATTCAACAGTGAAATGGGCCTATAACTTGAACATTGCGAGACATCTTTCCCTTCTTTATGTAACAGTACCACATGAGCCTGCAAAGATTCTCCCCTCATGTCCATCTCTCCTCCCAGGGCATTCATATATTTTTCCAATTTGGGGTTTAATATTTCACTAAATTTTTTATAGTACCCTGCTGTATAACCATCTGGTCCTGGACTCTTCCCCATCTCCATACTTTTTACTACTATCTTTATCTCTTCTTGTGTAATCTCTGCTTCAAGGGAGTTTAGTTGGTCCTCTTTTATTTTTGGTAATCCCGCATTTTTTAGATAAATCTTCCTTTTTTCCCTTTTTTCCTTATCCATATTATTTACTTCATCGTATGGAGTGATATTATATAACTTCCTGTAGTAGTCCACGAACGTCTTTGCAATTTCTTTATTTGAGTGGACCATTTCTCCCTTAGGGCTTTTTATTTTATCTATATAATTCCTATTTTTTTTTTTCCTTAAGGTTCTCATTAAATATTTTCCTGGCCTATCTCCCCATTTATAGTTTTCACTTAACACTTTGTTATACACTCTCCTTCTCTCCTCTTCCATCAGAGTTTCCAGTTCCTCTTTCTTTTTTATTATCTTCTGCTTAATTTCTTTTAGCATTCTATTTTTGTATAGTTGTTCTAACTCCGATATATCCTTTAAGAACCCACTAATTTTTTCTCTTCTTTCTCTTTTTTTTTCTTGCCCCAATTGCAATCAAAATTCCTCTTATATATGACTTGTGAGCCTCCCATACTGTTGCCTTAGACACATCCTCCGTCTCATTCTCTTTAAAGAATCTCTCAATTTCCTTCCCAATCCTCTGTGCATTATCCTTGTCCATGAGAAGTGCTTCATTCAGCCTCCAACCTACCCCTTCTGTTCTCCTCTTTCCCCATCCCATCCTCAATACAACAGGGGCATGATCCGAAAGCGTCATTACTCCTATATCTGCTTTAACCATTGAGTCTATAAAGTGATGTTCTATCAATATATAGTCCAACCTTGAATATATCTGATGTGCATTTGAGAAGAATGTATAGTCTCTATCTTTCATATGCAAGATTCTCCATGAATCTACCAATTGGCATTCATGGATCACCTTCTTTAATAGTCTCAGAGATCTACTCCCCTCTCGTTGCACCTTAGAATTTGTATCAATTTGTGGATCCATACAAAAATTAAAATCTCCCGCCACTATTATACAACCCTCTTTAAAATCCATCAACTTTTTTAACACACCCTTCAAGTACTCCTCTGGTTTTTTATTTGGACAGTATATATTAGCTACTGTGCACTCCACCCCTTGTATTTTACCCTTCAAAAACAGATATCTCCCCTCTGGGTCCACTTTTCTGTCCTTCAGTTCAAATCTTATATTTTTTCTGAACCCTATTGCCACCCCTTTAGCTCTCTTAATCGGGGAATCTGCAAAATACCATATTGGGTAATCTCTAGATTTCAGCTTCACCTTAGATTCTATCTCAAGATGTGTCTCCTGCAAAAAAACCACCGAAACTGCTTGATGATGTAATTCCTTAAATAACCTAAATCTCTTCCCAGGACAATTTAACCCCTTTACATTATAAGTGATGACTTGTAAATCTTCCATCTTTTTTAAATCCTTCTTTTTTCCCTTCTAACTAGAGATCACATAACTATCCTCCTTCTCTTTACCCTTGCTTTTAATACCTCTCTCTATCCTGCAGAGTATTTCCCTTATTATCCTTTTCCCTCCCACCCCCAGCTCTCCCCAGCCCCCACCCTTCCTAACCCTCCCCCCCTGCCAGCTCCTCCCCCCCCCCCCTCCCCCTCCCCCCCCCCCCCCAGGCTTCCCATGCCTTTGGATCATATTCCACTTTTGATCCCTCTATAGGGGTTCGACTCTGCCCATGACCGCTTACCTCCCCCCCTCCTCCCCCCAATGTCCCCTTATCTGTTGATTCTCTATTTCCTCTTTTAACCAGCTGCCACTTTCCTGACCCACAAGTATCCAACTCTCCCTCCTCCACTTCCCAACCAGGTATCATTTGTCTCTGCAGTCCAAGTTTGTCACAAAATTCCTCCATGTCTTCCGGGAATCTTAAGATAGCTGTAGTTCCATCCCTCCACCCAATTAAACTTAAGTCACGACCCCATCTGTATTTCACACTTTGTTTTTTTTCATCTCTTCTAATAGGGGTTTCAGTGATCTCTTCCTTCTCAGAGTCTCTGCTGTCAAATCTGCAAAAATTTGGATATTTTTCCCTCCATATGTGATATTTGTTCTTCCTTTGATCTTTTTCCATATCTCTTCTCTATCTCCATAGTTATGAAATTTAACAATTATATCTCTTGGTTTTTCTACCCCTTTTCCTTGTTGATTCTTCCCAATCCTGTATACTTCATCCAGTTTGAACATCTCCTCATCCGAGTTGTCCATTATGAAGTTCAAGATTTTGCCAGATAATTCTTTTAGGTCTTCCCCCTTTGTCAGTTCCGGGACTCCTCTTACTCTGATATTATTTCTCCTTTCTCTATTTTCTTGTTCTTCCATCCTATAAAGCAATCTCTTATATTCTTTTCTATCTTCAATTATCCATTTCTCTAATTTTGGGATGGTCTGAGGCTGGGCTTGTACCTTCTCCTCCACTTCTCCACCCTAGTTAACAGTTGTCCCAGATCTTCCCGGATCATCCCCATCTCTTGCTTTATTGAGTTTTCCAAACCTTTAAACATCTCCGCCATTTCTTTTTTGTTAGGTATTTGCATATCTCTTTCCAACTCTCTCGGTTCAATACCTTCCATTTGATTATTATATACTGGGCCCAGGGAAAGTCTCGGACTATTATCCACATTTATATCCAATTCACTTTTTTCACTTATTCCCTGAGTTCTTTCTGGAGTAACATTTCCTTGTGACACATATTTCTTAATCGTACCAGTTTGGGTGTTCTTAGGCCCGCTCCCTTTGATATTTTTACCTTTCATGTTGTTATTGAAATTTTTACTCTTGTTTCATGAAACTTCGGTTCTCTTATTCCTTCCGATCTTCAGACCTATCCTAGGAATCCCCTAATTCTTTTATTATCAGGATGAATTTTTTAAGGCACTGTCTTATTCTGGGCACTTAGGAAACTTCTGGTTTCTCACTTTGGGTGCCAACGTCTATACGCTGGGATTTATCAACAGTTTCCCTGTCAGGGGAAATCAGGGAAATCAAGCCAAATTCCCATTTATAAAATTGTATCCTTAAGCTCTGTATGCAAATGTGTACCGATAGGGGAAACGGCCCATAAAGGACCACCAGAGTAGGATGGGCGAGAAAAGCTCATGCTGGATAACACAGATTTAATTGCCTCAACTATGTGCAGCAAAACTGAGGTGCTGGCATCTGAAACTCTACCCTATACCCCATTACTTTTATACTCACTGAGTGGGGGCTGCGTGCGAGGTCCATGATCTTGATGAACAGCTGAAAAATCTTGAGTGTGTGATGCAGCAGCATCTTGCATCCGACTCTCCTGTGCAGAAGTTCCATTGCGCACAGCAGTTATAGATGACGATGATAGGGCCGACCACGTGGATGTCAGAGGCGGCCAGTGGGAAGCAACTGGTTGAAGATTCTGTGGAGACGAAAAGTGCACTGGCTCAGAAGAACCCAGGGTGCCGTGGTGCACTGAGCAATTGCAAAGACATGATGAAGAGACTGGCAGAGCACCCTGCTGGGGCTGGGCCGCCAGTGCAGACTGTCTAACCTGAATGTAAAGCTGAGAGGGTGGAACAGTCAGTGTGTCCGAGACATCATATCCAGCAGAGGGAGAAAGACCAATTCCCACCCAGCCGGGTGCAGGGAGCTGGAAAACTCAATCTTCCTGTGATCCTGGAGCTGGAGATAGGAGCAAGGGTTAATGTTTCCACCTCATCCCTTCAAACCTGAACACACACTAATCACACAGGCCCTGAGGCTAATACAGATAAGGCATCAAATGAGTTTAAATACCACCTTAGTCAGCCACAGAACCTGTGTAACCAATATGTGCCCGGAGCCAAAGGGATGAGGCGGCAACCCCAGCAGGGGCTGAACAGATGTAAGGTGCATTTAGCGCTCCCGTCCTGCTGGGCATAGGGAGCAGCACTGCTGAAGCAGGAAGTGTCAGCAGAGGCAGATGGGGACATGGAGGCTGATGCAGGTCCAGAGTGTCCTGGGCTTCGTGACCTGAAAGTGCGGGGAGTACCAGAGGAGTGGGTGGACCATGGATGACAGTAGTACCGCCATGGGACAGCTCAGGGGTGGCTAGTAAGAGGGCGGGAAGCCAGAGGTGAGGAATAGACTGAGCCAGCGCTGTCAGTGCCAGTGGATCCCTGTGAGGCAGTTCTGTTGCTGCTGCTGGGGCTGAGCCTGGAAGGAGGTCTGGAGTGTCTCCACACCCGTGGAGATGCCAACCTGGATACCTGTGGAGTCTCTGCCAGGGGGGCACAGCTGGGGAAGTGGGCACCAATGCCAGGAGGGGGAGAAGCCATTCTACCTGATCCCTCTCAAGCAGCTCTTGGATCTTGGAAATGAGCACTTCAGTGTCCATCCTGAAGGAAGAAGAAAAAAAAAAACCTGACACAACTGACCAACCACTTTCAGCCATTTGGGGCTTATCCACTAGTAGCACTGCCTTGGTCACTAGGCCATACTCTCCGCAGTCAAGGCTTCCTTTCCTTATGGGATCAAGGGGCAGTCATTATTCCTGAAGCCTACTAATATAGAGGTGGTACTAAAGATTTGTGTCTCTTGCAAAAGTGTTTCATACTGTTGAAATACACTATATTGCCAAAAGTATTGGGACACCCCTCCCAATCATTGGATTCAGATGTTCTAATCACTTCCATGGCCACAGGTGTATAAAATCCAGCTCCTAGGCATGCAGACTGCTTCTACAAACATTTTTGAAAGAATGGTTCACTCTCAGGAGCTCAGTGAATTCAAGCGTGGTACCGTGATAGTTTGCCACCTGTGCAATAAGTCCATTCGTGAAATTTCCTTGTTACTAAATATTCCACAGTCAACTGTTGGTGGTATTATAACAAAGTGGAAGCCAGTGGGGACAACAGCAACTCAGTCACCAAGTGGTAGGCCATGTAAAATGACAGAGCGGGGTCAGTGCATGCTGAGGTGCAGAAGTGTGCAGAAGTTGCCAACTGTGAGTCAATAGCTAAAGATCTCTATACTTAGTGTGGCCTTTAGATGAGCACAACAACAGTGCATACAGAGCTTCATGGAATGGGTTTCCATGGCCGAGCAGCTGCATCCAAGCCTTACATTACCAAGTGCAATGCAAAGCATTGGATGCAGTGGTGTAAAGCATGCCACCACTGGACGGATGGAATTTTTTTCATCGAATGAACAAAATCCTAACTGTAAGTGTGGTTTAGATTTGGAAATATCATGCATACTGTAATGAAACTTGTTTAATACGTCTGGGATCCCATTCAAATAGCAGGTCTCGATGAAATTTTAAGGGCTTTCGAATTAAGATCGTTTACTTTATGATGGCAAAACGGAATGTAAAGATAAACAATTTTTCTACAAACGCCTGAACAAAAATCTAACCATATACAACCAGCTCTAGTATCCAATCACTACACAGTTGATGGTGGATCTAAAAAGATTTCATAATCAGATTGTATAGTGTATTGCAAGTTTTAGGCTGCATTCTGACTATAACAGTATGTGAACCCATGCAGTGGCATTCATTGTTAAAACAGAACTCCAGGAACAAAAATGTTCATTTAAGTAGATTCTTTACTAACCACAATAGACATAAACCCACTTTGTGTGCACCAAATGCCTTTGCAAACACAACTATTACCTTGTAAAAGTAGCAGTGACATCACTATGCCGTGTACAGCTTGTACGGAGAGCAGAGGGACCAGCAGGCCCCACCCACCATAAGCTGCCTGCAGAAAACTACAGAAGGGGGTAGAGACAAGACCAGTCACCCTAAACAAAGAGAGAGAGCAAGTGACCAGTCTTTATTACAGGAAGCTCCTATGCAGAGACAAAGTTTTCACACTGGATAACTGCACACAGCACACTATGATTAGAGTAGGATATGTATGCCTCTTGTTTTTAGACCGTATTTCATTTTTCAGCTTTAAAGCGGAACTGAGGCTAGGTTCACAGCTAGAGTTTTTTTTACGTGCGTTTTCCTGCTAAATGCATAGGGCAGCCAGTTCATTTCAACAAACACGACAGAGAAGCTCATGTACTTTTTTGGATGTTGAGTTTTGTGTACTTTTAAATTGCATGTTTTGCCACATTTGTTGTGCTTTTTGACGTGCACAAAAACACGCATCTGCATGCTGTATTTGGAATGCCATAACAATGAACACTCAGGTGTGAATGCAGCCAAAAATACCTACCTCTGTTCCAACAGCCCAATGCCAGTGAGTTACCTTGCCAGAGCTGCATCTTCTCCCCAACTTTAGCTGCCTTGATTGGCTGTTGCAGAATTATGTCATTCCCCTGCAGGAGCAAGAGTGCTGTCACCCCAGCACACAGGAACTGTGCTGGAATGTAAAATGAGCTGTGCATGCACAGCTCAGTGTATATTCTAAAGAGGATGTGAATAGGCAGGTAAGTGTGTTTTATTGTAGAAGAACCTGCCTAATTGCTGTTCCACTTTAATGTCACCACAAATGTTCAAGAAGACATGCGTGTCAACCTCAAAGTTTAGACCCATTCAAACCTGAGTGTAGCAGAAACTAGTGTTCCTGCTTGATTTTTTACATGTTTTTCATGTGTTAACACGCGTTGTGCCTAAAGCAGTTCCTACTTCAGTGGGCTGCTCTACTACACAACAAACGCTCCAAAGTAGCTCCAGAACCATTTTGGTCATGGAGCATCAGGCATTTTTTCAGTGCACACTTTGGCAGTTTCATAATGCTTTTTGTCACATGACAAATGCACGTCATAACTTACAGTATATTGTCAAAAGTATTCGGGCACCCCTTCAAATCATTGGATTCCGGTATTTCAATCACTTCTGTGGCCATAGGTGTATAAAATGAAGCACCTAGGCATGCAGACTGCTTCTACAAACATTTTTGAAAGAATGGGTCAGGAGCTCAGTGAATTCAAGCGTGGTACTGCAATAGGTTGCCACCTGTGCAAAAAGTCCATCCATGAAATTTCCTTGCTACTAAATATTCCATGGTCAACTGTTTGTTATAATATCACTAAGTGGAAGCAACTCAGCCACAGAGTGGTAGGCCATGTAAAATGAAAGAGTGGGGTCAGTGCATGCTGAAGTGTATAGTGCGCAGAAGTCGCCAACTGCCTCAGAGTCAATAGCTAAAGACCTCCAAACTTTGTGTGGCCTTCAGATTAGCACAACAGCAGTGCATAGAGAGCTTCATGGAATGGGTTTCGATGGCCAAGCAGCTGCATCCAAGCCTTACATCATCGAGTGCAATGCAAAGCATCAGATGCAGTGGTGTAAAGCACACCGCCGCTGGACTCTAGAGCACTGGAGACGTGTTCTCTGGAAAGACGAATCACACTTTTCTGTCTGGCAATCCGATGGATGTGTCTGGGTTTGGCGGTTGCCAGGAGAACGGGACTTGCCTGACTGTATTCTGCCAAGTGTAAAGTTTGGGGGAGGGGGGATTATGGTGTGGGCAGGGGCGGACTGACCATTTGGAAACTCGGGCACTGCCCGAGGGCCCGGGGTCAGTAGGAGGCCCCAAGAGATGCCCCTGGTACCTTTTTCATAGGCTTTTTTGAGTTTCGGCATGGACACAGGGGCCCCATGATCCCCTATTGCCCGGGGATCCCATGAGTTGTCAGTCCGCCCCTGGGTGTGACCTAAAGCAATGAAGAGAGCTGCATGTGACATGCATTCATTGTCACCCACCTGATTCTCGGTTGTTTTTCAGGGCTTGGGCTTGACCCCTTAGATCCAGTGAAGGGAACTGTTAAGACATCAGCATACCAAGACATTTTGGACAATTTCATGCTCCCAACTTTGTGAGAACAGTTTGGAGATGGCCTCTTCCTTTTCCAACATGACTGCACACCAGTGCACAAAGTCAAGTTCCATAAAGACATGGATGAGCGAGTTTGGGGTGGAGGAACTTGACTGGCCTGACCTCAACCCCATTGAACATCTTCGGGATGAATTAGAGCGGAGACTGCGACAGGCCTTTTTATCGAACATCAGTGCCTGACCTCACTAATGCGCTTTTGGAAGAATGTTCAAACATTCCCATAGACAAACTCCTAAATGTTGTGGATAGCCTTCCTAGAAGAGTTGAAGCTGTTATAGCTGCGAAGGGTGGGCCAACTCAATATTGAACCCTACTGACTAAGAATGGGATGCCAGTAAAGTCCGTGTGCGTGTAAAGGCAGGTGTCTCAATACTTTTGGTACTATAGTGTATGAGTGCTATCCATGCTTGAAGTGCCATTAGCAACCGACGATTGTAGCATGTTTTGAAATACACATCAAAATGCACATGTTTATGTGTTTTATTGTGCAATTAGGAAAAACTCAGGTTTGATTGCAGCCTAAAATTGCAACTAAAGGCAACATTTTTTTTTACTTTGGATAGAGTAAAGGAGAGTTATAAACATGGTCAGTTTTATTTATTTATTTTTTTGCCATCTGTGGCCCATTGGGGAAATTTCCCTTTACTTCCTGTCCCATAGCTAAAACAGGAAGTGAGAGAAAATCCACCCAAAGTGAGGGAATCCGGGGATGTCACCAGGATCATCAGAACTCCGTGTTTCCCTTTCTATTACTATTCTGAGGATAACCCAAAATATGGACTTTTCTTTTACTTTCACTTTCAATGAGACTGGAAACAGGACAAATAAAGAGGGTGAATTTCCCTAGCGGGGATACAGACATCAATAAAACATGACGTGTTCTAATCCATCTGCACACCAGCCAAAACTCAAGAAAAAAAAAAAGTTTTGCCTTTTAGTTACACTTTAAAGCGGTAGTAAACCGAGAAAAAAATCTCTAAAAAAGCATAATGCGATGCATACTAGCACATTATGAATGAAAATGAAGCCCTCCAGCGGAGCGCTGTCACTGCTCCATGAGGCTTCCACCTTCACCTGGTCTTCCGTCTGAGTTTGCGAGTTGCAGCCATCTCTTTAATAAAACATACTACACTACGATACTGTCTCCGGGCTCGGTCTATGAGCTTGCCCTCTAGGAGGAATACATTTCCTTGGTTTACCGTGGGCTGCAAATGGAGACTTGACTACTCTACTTTTGATTGTTCATTTGGTGTATCACTGGCTTCTGGAGAGATCCCACCTTCAACCGGGTCACCAGCAGGAGGAACAAGCAGAAACACCCCTTAGTGTCATTCCACTCTGGGATTGCTTGTTACTTACTTCTGGTGAGTGCATTATGGTGGAGGTGCAGTGCGGAAGTCACAGAAGTTACTACATTTTATTGATTTGATCACATCACTATTTTTGGGACTATTATGATATTTAGAGGACTTATATATTTTTATTTGTTATACCGTTCATTTTGTTTCTTCATTGGAGTATTCTCTATTCTCTATTTCTTTTTTTTTTATGATGTTTCCTTTCTCTTTTACTATCACACTGGTCATCATTGATTATAACACACATTTTTATTAGTGCTGCACATTGATATTATATTGTTTTGTTTTGGTGGAGACAGAGGGTTTTCCACGTTGTGCTAGCTGCTTTACTTTTTCCTTTTCTGTCTTGCGCTCACCATTTATTCTTTGATTATAGAGTTGCGGCCATCTGATTGGCCGGGCCGCAATGTTGACACTCCTGCATGCGTAAAGGGAGTTTTGCACACACGCGGGACGGCTCTCTAAATGAATAGCTTCCACCTTCACCCAGTCTTCCTTCTGGGTTTGCGAGTTCCGGCCATCTGATTGGCAGGGCCACGATGTTGTCACTCCCGCATGCATGAAGGGAGTTTTGCACATGGCACGGTTCTCTAAATAGACGGCACACCGTCCATTAAGAGAGCAGCGTGCATGCACCGGGGACATCACCAGAGCTTTTAGAATAAATATCTCCTAAACAGTGCATGTTTAGGAAATATTTACAGTACCTATAGGTAAGCCTTATTAAAGGCTTACCTTTAGGCAAAATATGAAAAAAGGAGTTTACTTACACTTTAACTGCTTCCCGACTGCCATATAGTAGAACTACTGCTACAGGGTGGCAGGGCAATACAAAGCAGCATGTTGTAAAACACACACAGCACAGTATGCAAAACAGCACACAGCTAACCCTTTGATTGCCCCAGATGTTAGCCCCTTTCTGCCCAGTGTCATTAGTACAGTGTCAGTGTTTTTTATTAGCAGTGACCACTGTATTAGTGTCTCTGGGGATGTCAGTGGCAGTTAGTTAGTTCCCTCCCAGTGTCAGAATGTGCACCGCAGTCCTGCTATAAGTCGCTGATAATTACTAGTATAAAAAAAAATTCCAGTATATATACCGCCAATTGTAAACGCTATAACTTTCACGTAAACCGATTCAATTACACATATTTTTTTTTAGCAAAGACATGTAGCAGAATACATTTTGGCCTAAATTTATGACAACATTAGATTTTTTGAATTTTTTTACTGGATATGTTTTATAGCAAAAAGTCAAAAATATTGTTTTTTTTTCAAAATTATCGGTCTGATTTTGTTTATAGTGCAAAAAATAAAAAAAAATGCAGACCAACAAAAATCTCCATTTGTGGGAAAAAAAACATAAATTTCTTTTAGGTGCAGCATTGCATGACAGTTAAAGAAACGCAGCGCTGTTTAGCAAAAAAAAAAAAAAATGGCCTAGTTAGGGAAGGGGGTAAATCCTCTGGTTAAAAAGGTGCACAAGCTTCTATTGTCATGGGCTGGGCAGCCCATTGAAATGAATGAGTTTTCCTATGTGTGTAAATGTGACAGCACAAAATAAAAATACATGTATGTGTGATGCCTGGCATTGCGTGTCATAGTGCGAATGGGGCCGTATCTCCTATTTAACAGTAGAGCACTCATCAAGAAGCATTCCTGCCATTTCGCGCTGTCACCCTTCTATAGAGCACAATATATAGCATTGTGTGAGCTGAGCAGAATGCATCAGGGCACATAACACAGCCTACTCTCTGTCTTTACAATGACATTATACAGCAGACTGGGACAGCTAGGTGTGGATTTCAGATTTACAATCTCCTCCCATTTGCTAAGTAAACTTTAAAAGCCATTGCGAAATTCAACTTGTCTTCCTAAACTTTTCAGTTGTGTGTCATTCCGGCTGGCAGGGAGGGGCCTAAGCTCAGCACAGGGAAAAGTTTCATTCTAACCAGTCTGATAGGTTTGCAGTGACAACTCTGGATGTTTTTAAAGAAATCTCTGCTAAGGTGGATTGGATGTTAAAGGCGATTGCTGTTTTAAAGTCAACATTTAATGGAGTGACCGCACCTCTGAATCACGTTATAGGAAATTGAAGCCTGGACTGAATGGACATTTTAACCTTTAAATACAGTAAGTAAACAGAAAACTGCTTGGACTCTGTATGGCGTGACTTTTATTATGTGACATTTTCTGTAATTTAAAAATGAATGTAGAAGCTTTGTAGGGAAATCGATTGTCTAATATATAGAAATACCTTATAAAATGCATAAGATCATTGGAAGTGTTCAATGTGTTTACTTCTTATTTGTTTTTATTGCTGTGTTTTGAAACAAGTGCATCTGTCTAAGAGCAAGATCACACCACAATGCGGTATGGGAAATCCACATCCCGTGTACGTTTCCTGCACCGCATTCAAGACGCAAGCTGCAGCCGGTGTCACTGCAATGCTAACGACACCCCAAATACAGTGAGTTTGCCTGCACCAGATCACATGATAGGATCGCATGGTACAGAAGTACTGTGCAATCCAGTTGCTCTGCACTTCATAAGGTAGTGTATGCCTTATGTGAATGCTCAGGAAAGCACATTGGGGTTTATTTACTAAAGCTGGAGAGTGCAAAATAAGGCTCAATTCTGCATAGAAACCAATCAGCTTCTATCCTCAGCTTGTTTAATTAAGCTTTCGTAATAAAACCTGGAAGCAATCTATGCAGATGTGCACCTGATTTGCTGGCGATCGCCGAGTATCACTGTCTAGGGAGAGGTCTGAATGTAAACAATACAGATCTCTCCTCTGTCAGCTCCAGCATGCTGCTTTGTATGGATCTGCATAGCAGAGCCATACAAAGCAGTGTTCTTACATAGTAAAGCACAGCACACAGTAAAACACACAGTTAACCCTTTGATTGTCCCAGATGTTAACCCCTTCCTGCTCAGTGCCATTAGTACAGTGTCAGTGCTTTTTATTAGCACTGATCATTGTATTAGGGTCACTGGGGATGTCAGTGGCAGTTAGTCAGTTCCCCTCTTAGTGTCAGAATGCTTGCCATAGTGCCACCAATTGTCGCTGATTGCCGCCATTAA